AACAGATGAACGAATGCTTCGACTTCGACTGAGAAAGTACGCTTGGGGCTTACAGTAGGGTTTCGAGTCTTGGCCAGAGTTTCGGGTTTGGCAAAGGCAGCAAGCGTCCAGTCAAGAAACCGTGAACCAACTACTGAGCCCCAAGCATTGAAAGAAGGAATTCTGACAGTTTCCGTTTACTGCAAGCCCCGAAAAAAGTCAAGCCAAATCGAAATCCCAAACTGTACCTAGCATCCGCCCGTGAAGGCAGAAAAAACGCAATATGCAAAGGATCCCTAACATAAAGATCCCTAAGTAAGGCCGTTCCCACAATACTCCTAACCCTCAGCCCTAAACTCTGAACCCTAAATCCCGCACCCTAAGCTGAACGGAGTGCCTCTCCGGCCGTCGGGGAAGCTGCGCCGGTGCGGACCGGGGATTGTCCACCCGGAGACATCGAATCTGGCCTGGAGCTCGCATTTTTTATATGTATATCTATCTGTCTATCTATCTATCTATCTATCTAGCTATCTATCTATCTAGCTATGTATATGTGTGTGCGTGTGTATTTGTGTATGTGTATATATGATATTCAAAGCCAAGTAGCACATCACAATATACTAGAACATGATACGATCAAACAGAATATATTATAATAAAAAGTAACATAGCATAATAAGATAAGATATTATCATGTAATGTATCATCCGGTAATACAAGGCAACATGCTATAATCTAGTATGATACACTGTAATCTACATAACAGAAACTAATCTGAGCGAATATAAATATATAATATACTATAACACGATATAAGATAACATAATATTATAAAACAAATACATTACAACACCATATGATATAATGAAATATACCATAACATAGTATGATATACTGAATTATATCGTAACAACATAAATTTCATCTAATGTGACCAACAAGATTTAGCATCATATAACATATTAGAATACAATAAAAATATGCCCAACACCTAACATGATGAATTTTACTTAATGCAATGCACCATAAACAACAATAGCAGTATCATACAGCATTATGAAATCGAACATAATATGTTGTCATACAAAATGCTACAACATAGCAATGTATAAAACAGTATAATGTACTATAGTACAATAGAATAATAGAATATAAAATAACAAAACGTTGTATCATGTAAAATGATATAATGTTATAGGATATAACGTGTAGTCTAATCTAACATAATATAACACAGCATAACTTAAAATGTTGCAACGTAGTAAACTAATATCAAAACACAACGAAGTAGATTATAAACATAAAAGCTGAGATTATGATATAGTATATTAAATTCTAACACAATGTCATAGAAACTTGTGTTTCGTTGTAGTGTCTTTATAGATAGTATGTGTATGCTGTATGCAGTGGCATATAATATAGTGTATACACATATGCATATGTGTACATAGACATATGTATACATATTCATATAAATATATATATATGTGTGTGTGTGTATGCATGCATGCATGCATGCATGCATGCATGCATGCATGCATGCATGTATGTAGGTATATCGGGGGTTGTTCTGCACGATGGTCCAATTTCGGCTCTTCTGCAGATTCGTTACAATAGTGTTACAAGTAACTGTCAGAGCCACTACCCTCAGGGAAAGCGGGAAAGCTCTCATTCAGGACGGTCCCCATTTCTGATTACTTCTTTCAGGCTTAGGTAGTAGTAGATGCCCAAAGACTCCATTATGCACCAAGGCATGTCACCGGATGGATTTGTCGAATCAAAGCCAACTACTCAACCCCAAACCCTGCACCCTCAAAGCCCCGGGCCCGTCCCCGTCTGGCGCTATCTGCATCATCACCTGGGTGTTTTGGAGTGGGACGGTCTGGCGTTGTGGGTTCTGGCAGGATTCATACACGTGGGTCCGGGGTTCAACCCAAAGAATCCGGCATCTAGGATTCAGGTCTTGGGCCCGAGGGTTTCAGGCTAAACAGCATGAGCCCACCGCACTTGCACACTGAATTGTCTGTGTCCTTCCTCTCTTCATCAACATCGACATCGCCAACATCAGCAACACAGCATGTGTTGTGATTGTCGCCACTGTCCACAAACAGTTTCAGTGGACTGCGGAAGGATGGTACGCATGCATAGCGTTTTGTGCCCAGGCACCTACAGATATGTATGTACGCGGAGTACACAGTTACACAAACTTCGCGCCCCACACAGTACTCTGCATTTCAGTGTAAATGAACACATGTGTTCATCATGTGCTGGCAAGTGCTAGGCGCATGTTACTTCCTGCCTGGCTCGGAATGGACAGCACTGTATGCTTAGAACCTAGTCATTTGGGAACCCAAAGCCCGTGTTGACACAAAAATCAAAACCCATTGATCGGGTCCGGCGAGGATGTAGGGCTTTGGAGGCATTCGTGGTGAGATCTTCTGGGCTGCTTCGCAGGTGCAACCGAGCGGCACTGGGGGCACTGCGACCCCGCGACATTCGCGTGACGACCGGGTATGCGCAACCTGACCGGAATGTAAACGACATGCGAAAGTAGCAGATTTCCTGAAATTGCCAGCTCTGCTTGCCCGCATGCTGCTAGATAGGCATCGTTTCGTCGCACAGCGACATTCCACAGAATCTGAGAAGAGGCCCACGCAGTTCTTCAGGTGGACGGCGCTCTTCTGATAATGCTCCTGATTCTTGTCTCACTCGATACAAACTCACGCAGAACCGATTAAGCACCTACACAAGATGGAAGCTGCACTGCTTACTGTATGCTTCTTCCAGGCCGCACGCTTCAAGCAGCACTTTTCAGCAAACAGTGGAAGCCCTGAAGCCCACAGCACGAAATCTAGTTGCCAAAATACAAAGCGGATGCTTCCTCCCATTTCTTGTGGCTGTAGACCGGCTGCACCTGTCAAAGGATGACGAAAGCTTACGCTGCTGCTGCTGCTGATTCTATGACTATCATTCCGACTACATTCTGGGTCACTAGGCCCTTAGGTGGGCGTGCTAAGCCGCATCACTCTGTCGAGAGTCAAATCACCCCATGGCGACGCTTGAAACGGCTGAGGTCTCATCTACCAAAGTCAGATCAAAAATAGAAAAGCAACACGTTCATGTTGACACCCGATACGCGATGGCTGGGCGATTAGATGGGAGCTCTGGCACAAGACTGGGGAGAGTACAGCCGACATCCAGCGATCATGCCTTACCCCGTGCTCTCCACGGTGAAGGAGCTTTTGAAGGAGTGCTCACATGTGCAAAGCAAGGCCACGTCCAAAGACACTGGACTGTGCAGGAAAAGTCGCTTCGCAGGGCCCCTTTGGCTCTGAGCAGGATGCGCTTGAGCGCGGTCTTAAATTCTCAGCCTGGATATCAAGAAGCACCCTGTTGAAGCCTTGATGCTCCTACGGCTACAGACTGATTTCATTGTGACGTGATATACTGGCGTTACTCCAGAACCTTTCTGTATTGTCCCGGAATACCAAAATGTCATCGAAGGGACTGAAATTCGAGAGGGGGGTTGGGAAACTGAATTTACCGCAGGGCCGACTCTTTCTCGGAAGCTTCTGTCTAATTTCGTAACCTGAACAGCGTGTACCAGATACACCCCTGCATTGAACTCCAGGATACTTCAAAACCTTACCGTCCCCAGCTGATTTAAATTTAGGGCGCTCATGGTACCGTTCCTTAAGAGCCAAAGCGCTGCTGCAAGAGCATCGATCAGGCATTGCCGACCGTCTGTGCTCGGCACATCGCTAACTCGTCGGGTCTCGCAGCTTGGAGCTCTAGGGCTACTTCAGGGCTTACGGGTCTAAGCTGTCTAGGCTACAGCTTTGGGGCCTAGCCGAGTTTTCAAGGTGTCTGCCTCCCAGCTTGAGTTTGATAAACTCTTTCATGTCACCATGGTAAAATTAGAGCGATTGCGTGCTTCACCTCTGTCGGTGTTGGTTCTAAACTGACGGCTTGCAGTTGACAGGTGTTCAGTCATGGCAATCCACACAGAGAATTCTGTCGTCGACAACTTCGTAAACGTTCAACACGGCATGTCGAAAGACGGTGCAAGTCTAAGCGTTGAAAGATGCGTGCTCTGGCTGTGCAAGGATTTCGACCAGGGCGGCATCAAATACCGCGGTAAGGCGCGATGTATACGAGTTATCCTCTCGGCATGAGTCCGATGCTGCAAACTCGGCAGCCTAAACACTAAAGCCAAATTCTATGAAGCGGGCAGCAGGGTACGCTGACCTCGACTCTTTCGTCAAAGCCGCTTGCACCAGGTCGGGGAGCTTCTAATTCAACGAACCACGAACCCACGACGGCAGATAAGCCCTCGCATGCAACTTTGAGATTAATGGCTTGAGTGTATTTGGTGGTAATCCTGCCAACACCCAAGAGCAAGCAAAACCAACTGGACCGTCATTGGCATCTTCAAAGTGGGAGTGGGCAGGGTCTGAGAGTCTGAGAGTGGCAGGGGGGGGGGGTCGTAGAACATGGGGAGAAGGCTCCCACCAAACTGACAAACTGCCTGCGGTTTTGGGGCTCAAGGATGCGAGTATGGTGCCAACATATGGTGATATCGCATGTATCTCCTGGCCCTAACCCTATACCCTACAATCAGCAAAAATAACAACCTATAGATGGAGGCTTGAGCCTTGGGCTGCCCTGGGGTGAGCTCCCTTTGTCCCGGTGCCTTTCACAGTGCCAGCTCCGGAGCCCTTCTCTGTGGGTGCTCTCAAGCTGAATTCGGCTTCCGATCTCTGCGGCGTGCACCTTGTCCCGTGCCTCTGAAGCGGAACAAATCTTGACAGACCTCCTTAGGTGCCTTCTGTAAAGCCGTAAAAAGCCGAAATCTCCCTAAAACCCTAAACCCCAAAGCCCGCGAAACCTCCAAGGCCCGACAGCCCAAAACAATAAGACGCCTGGGCCAAGTCACCAAGTATTGAAACCCCTTTTCTGCAACCTGACAATGCCTGACAACTTACCGAAAGAAACCCTGAACAAAAAAAACAAGCCAATCATCACAGCACAAGGTGGGCCAAGATGGGATGGTGAAACGCTCCCAAGGCGTTGCTGTTGGGAAAGTTGACCTGAGCGAACGGCCTCGGCCAGGTTCGAGTGAAGGAGGCCGAGATTTTTGGGGGCTCAAAGTTTCGATCCTATAGTGAGTTTTTTTAGGTTCATGAGTTGATCTTGGTGATGCTTGTGGGGCTGCGAAACTATGGTGACTGCTGGCGACTTTCGTCGGGAGCTTTAGAATCTTTGGGAAATAGTTGTTTTGCTTCTGCCTCTTGTTTGGGTAGAGCACCTGACATGCGCCATTTCCCGGCGGCCGTCCTTCCTGCACGAAAGCAGCGGAGTACATGTGCTTCTGCAGGGCCTTCCGTGCTGCTGCTTGCTGGCCGAAGCAGTGCTGGACTGGCACAGGCTGTGTAGCTTTGGGTCGGCATTTTGGGATTGGGCTTGGAAAACACGGTGGCGTTGATCTGGCCCATTCTGGCCCTCATGCTCCTGGTAAGCGTGAGCGTGCTCGCATAGACCCTATCTTGCGGCGACCGGGCACTGCAGGTAAACCGAAGCAGAGTGCTTGTTGGCGGGGTGATGCGACCCCGTGCATTTGCCACCAGCGGGCCGTTGCGGGGCCATGCACCACCAGCTGCCAGTTGTCCAAGGTCTTTGATCGTAGTCGCCAACACAGAATGGTTTGCTGGGCAGTGTCGTACAAGTTCAAGGCTTCCAGGGTAGCAGGGGCTTCGTATGTGTATGAGGCCAACATCCGTTGCTTGAAATGCTGCAAGGCACCGTCAGCCAGGGTGAGCGGAACTCGGGTTCTTCACTTTCTCAAATTCCCACACATGTTGGGGCAGTTAGGCTCACGATTCGTCAGTTTTGGCATTCCGTGCTCACGGGATTGAGGTTCGGGTTGCTGGGGGATTTGACTTAATTACCCTCCCTCGTTTCCATCACTCTCTGTCTCTAACTTTCTCTTGGGGTTGTGCCGTAACTTGCCAGGCCTTGTCGCAGAGCGTGGCGGCAGCGCCAAGGGCTGGTGCATACCAAACCCTAACGGCCCTAACCCGAAGCCTACAGTATAATAGACCACAGCCCCAACCACAAATCGTACTGCAAGCTACCTTTTGCCCCTCTGCAGCAGCAAGGCCGGAGAAAAACCGTAAATGCAGCTTTGCCTAGACCTTGAAGGGCAAGACTCGCTTGCGGCTGCGGCTATGCGTACTCCGTTCGACAGGGAAACTCAATCTGCTGCCTGAGGACTCTAGGCACTGCCTATCTGAAGCTGCTCGCACGAGACTTGCTTCTGTTTCTCTGAGTGGTTCGTACTTGCTGCATACTGTTGCTCACAAGCTGGTACGTATTAGGTGATGCTGCTACTCGTACTGGTACCACGGCCACACCACGACCACGAGGACGACTACTATCACCACCCGGTACAGCTACATTTGCAACTAGACGAAGACGACAAGTAAAAACTGGCCGCAGACTCACAACTGCTACTGCTACTTCGCAACCACTGAATACTTGACCAGAAACGAAAACATAAAGCCCCCTCGATCACATCGTGAAGCCAGGGACGACCCCAACACCCCTAATGAAGAATGACTTCTTCGGGATTTTGGGGATTTTGGAGCAAACTGCGTCGAGCGGCGGTGCATGGCGAAAATCCCCAGATAGGGCGCGGTATTCCTGGTCTATCCACAGGCACATGATGCTACAAACGACCATCTGCAGACCTACGGCTCTTTGTGGCAGTTTGCCTCAAGAACGGCATGCTGACTCAGCCGTTCGAAATTCGGCAAGAGTGCCTTCAAAGGAGTGGCAGTGAGATCATGCCGCTGTTCACGGAAGCTACAGAACTCTGCCTGCCCGAAAGCTCGCAGCATATAGACGTTCACTTAAGCAACCAATCAACTATAATTCACCAGTTAAATGAATGAGTTTTGTCTGTCCGTAGGTCTTGTTGAATACAGAAAATATGCCCTGACGGAGTTGGCCCCCAACCTCCAGGATCCCGAAAATCCATTCCAGGACAAGCAAAGCTTCGTCATCACGGATCAGATCCTCAGAGTGGTCAGCACAGGGCTTAAGTAGACGATGTAGTGTAGCATAAGGTTATTGTTTGCGTGCTGCGCTTCCGGACGCTCAGTAACGTGTGCCCAGTTCCACACCACGCATGCTCGACACATTTCGTTCATCAGGGCGGCCTACTTGAGACTAGCGTATCATCAAGAAGCTGCTCGTGAGTGCTGGAGAGAAGAGATGCAGTTGAACTTAACTTCGAATACTATCAAATTTAGGTTTTACGCCTTTTTGTGATTGGCATTCCTTCTTCGATGCTCCAGGCTCCAACTTCTTGCCAAAGTTTGCGCCCACTCTGTCGAAGAAGGCCCGGAAGCCTATGTTGTAGCAGCATGTCCTTCGTGCGCATGGATTGCTGGGGAAACGTAAAGGACTGCCTGCAGAAGATCATGTTGCCACCAGCTACTAGAGGTTCAGAAGTCATGATGCCATGCCGTAAATATCATTCGATGAGCTCCGCCTGAATCGTGCCAACACAGTGAGATGCATTCGAGCCACAAGAGGCTCGAACGTACACCGCCCCCGTGGCTCTCACGACTCTCAACTAAACCAACATGGAGTCGTCCTGTAGTCGTACCAGAGGGTCGGCACACGCGTGTGCGGAGGCAGCAGCGCCAGGTCCTCTAGGATGCCCACGTCCTGATGCCGCAGTCGCTTCTAAGCTGGAAGGGGAGCTTTCGAAGAGCTAAGATTTGGAGAAAGACAGGTAGGCCCTCGACTCTAGACTCGCGACCTGCCGGGTTGTTGTTCGGGCTCGGACAGCTCCAGGGTCAGCTAGGAAGGTCTGAAAGCAATTTCAGCGAACCCTGTGGTACTTCCCTTGCGCACTTATAGGGAGCCCTGCAAGTCAAGTTAAGCCTTGAGCTAGAGAAGGCATTGGGCAAACCAGCCGCAATGTCTGAGGCACCTTTTCGCACCTTCACCTGCTAGCTTGGACCCGCCGTACCGCCGACCTAAAGAGGTGTCGGTAGTAGTCCTCGTCAGATAAAGCGGCCATCGGCCAGGCTTTCACCACATGTCCAGCAGCAAGAGCCTCGGGCCAGGCAAGCTGTTGCCCAGTTTCCGTTCGCACGTCCACGATGTGGCCGTCAGGACCTCGTGCATTGTCATCAATGAAGCAGGTATGGAGCTCCTTGCTGACGACGACAAGCTTTCCTGCTTTGGCTGCCTCTGCCTGGTCTCTCCAATATCTCCAGTGGTCACGAAAACACCAGGTTTCTCCGCTGCCACTGATCTCCAGCAATTCGTCATGGATGGCCTGGTAACCTTCGGCAACACGGCCTCCCTGGCTTCTCGCCCGTGCCACCGCCTCCTCACGGTTTGCACAGCTGCTGAGGTCCACCCCGATTGCCAGCAATGGACCATCGGAGTCTCGGAAGTAGGAGCCAAAGCGGTTGCAAATATCCGTCGCACGGGAAGAGTTGAAACCCGGATGTAGAGGGTGCTCGCCGTGCACGAAAGCATTGAACTCTTTAGCGACCGATGGGAGATCATCGCCGAAGGTACGGAAGTGCACGGAGATGGGAACCTGGTCCTTTCCAGCGGACTCCAGGAGCTCACGCATCGCTGCCAGGAACGATGGCAAAAGAAACCAGGTTTCACGATCTGCGAGACCGGCAGCCTCCGCTTCACGGGAGGAACGCAGGTTCTCCGGGATGAGGAGACGGCTCAACATCGGCTCAAGCAGCTGGGCCACTTCCTCCGGGGCGGCGCCACCGACTTCGGCAAAGGAGCCCCGCAAACGGTCCTTCTCCTTCTTCGCCGCTGCTAACAAGTTTCGTGAAGCTTCCAGGCTCGAGACGTCCGATGCATCCGCCGGGCTCTCCCTGAAAAGCTCGTGCACCCAGGCGCTGTAAGTGATGAGGTTCGGCTCCGGAGCTTCCAGGCTCAGGGGAGCTCCGCTGAACTCCCAGCGGTTTCCGCGCACAGAGCCCCACGCAGAGTCTGCCAGGGCCTCGTTGCAGAGTGCACGGGCAGACTTTCCGCCAGAGGAATCTTCCATGACGATCGTCTTGTTGATGTCCAAGCAAAGTTGCAGCGGCTTAGACGCATTGGCTCGGATCCGATTCGAAGAGCGTGAGACTCCGAATAGACTTACAAAGGAAAGCATATGCAATGGCCGCACATTGCGGGGCCCAGCTGCCCGGCTGCCCTTGAGGTACCGCCTCTGCAGAGGATTACAGGAGACACTTTGTTCCACCGCGCATGCGCGAGCATTGCAACGCTGGCTGACCGGGCTCACCGGTTGCATTGCAAGTGCAGCTGCTCAGTGCCCAGGGCTTTTGCTTGAATTGATATCCACAGCCCAGCTGATCCGAAGAAGCAATCAAGTCATGGCTTGAGGATCCATGCAGTCTGATTCAACTTGCAGCTTCAAGCCACTCGGACATGTTGGGGACTTCATGAGAGCATTTCCCGCTGGCTACAAAGCACCAGCAAGAAACCTAGGACCTAGCCACAATCCTTCAAAGCCCTTTGTTAAGGGTCGGTGGCCTCGCTGAGTCACAGATCATGGTCACGCTTGGGGTCTTTCGGTTGTCTGTCTCATAAGGTGGATGCGCGCCGAGCGTCGGATTTCTCATGCAGACCGGCATTGCTGTCCGCAAGCAAGATGACCTCCAGCATGGTCACAGGACGCCAGAACCCATGAACAAGAGCTAACACTAAGCCCTCCAAATTTAAAACAGCCATCTAGCGAAAGCCCAAACACAACCTCGTATTGTCGCAGTCCACTTTTTTGGATGCAGCGGCTCTCCACAGCATCGCACTGCTATCTACTGACTCGAGCGCTACATCTGTAGAGCAGCAAAGATGAAACCCTAAAAACCATTTTCTGAATCCATGAATCGTGTCGGCCAAGAATGAAGGCTAGGGCTTGGTTGATGCAGGGTTCAGGGGCATATGATCATCAACAGCATCTGATACCGTCTTTGCCGATAGATGCGCTCCGCTTGGGCGCCTTGTCTGTGGTGTTTCTGGACTTCTTCAGATTCCACCGAAGGGTTCCAACGAAGTCCTGGTAAAAGCCTGGCCAACAAGACTACAGGCGGTGTTTACCAGCAAACTGAATAGGGCCCTCGGGAATCTAGTTACAGTGCACGGTCAGGCAATGCATAAGGCTGGAACATGCTGGAACAAAGCCACAAAAGATCACAGTTTCGAAAATGCTACACTGCTCGCCTGACTGGCAGCTTCCAACGGTCCTCAAGTCGGAGTGCACAAATGGATGGATGGATGGATGAGTGGGTTTGAGCAGCCACTCTCCCGGACACTCTCAACTTCGAACTGTATGGATTATTGAGGTAGACTGACCATGAAGACGCCCCGGATCCGAAAGCGTCCTAAAGTTTGGATACAGTGCACCCTTACAAGAACCCTTTTAACCGAAGCCCGTTTCTAGAACCCGGTGATTATCTGAGTCAGTGTCCCACCTGAACCGGCTCCATGGGGAAAGTGCGCACCGAGCACAGTAACCTGGCCCCGCTTGCTTTAGGATCTTGGCTTCTGGGCTCAGAGCAGCGGGGTTTTGCGGGTTTTGTTGGTGTTTAGGGACGTTGGGTATTGGGGCTTCAGGCGTGTAGGTGCAGGGCTCTTGGTGGGGGTTCAAAAAAAGGCTGGCTGAAGCGATAAAAGGTATTGGAATTCGGGAGCACTTCAGCGGCAAGACCACATGTCCTGCCTTCAAGTCCCTGACGAGGACGTTCTGAAAGGTCCTTTGTTTTGGGATGAAGATGTGCAGCGAAATTCATGTTGAACTCTGCGGTACTTCGCGACACATGCACGTAATAGAGAAGCCTGCATGGCTGTGAAGATCACTGTTCTGGCTTGTCGGGTAGCATATAACCAACCTGTCACACTGAATTCTTGCTGGCCCTACGGTACACATGAGGCAACAGACGAAGGCGGACAACCACACATGGGGATCTGTGCTGCACAAGCCGCATGATGTTGCATGCCCGGCCATTTCCCCACCTCACGAAGCAGCTGCAAGAAGAAAGGCTATCGGATCATAGGTGATTGTACGCTTGCACAGGTATTTGGTGTTGATCTGCTTGCATTGAATAAAATCGTACCGTTGGCTCGGCTACGTAGTTGCATGCATGCTTTGCACGGCAGCATGCCTCGTAGCCCACGAATGCCACATTCAGACGGCCCTCGCTGAACCCATGCAATGTCTTGATATGATGCGGGACAGCAGAAGAGAGCGCTCTCTCCGAGCAGTCCGCATCTGCGAACTCTGCATTCACACGAAACGAACCTATCGAAACCCTGAACAAATTTCGAGCAAATTTCCAAATTCTCTAAACCAGGCATGTTACAATCTCCGCACTGGTCATACCCTCTTCATGCCCAGTGCCCTGGGCCCGAAAGCTCTTGTATGCCAAGTACAGCCATGAAGCACTAGCACCACACCCCAATTGCCAAAGTCCGAAAGCCAAGCCCAAGACATGCTAACGATCTGGTTAGCATGACTTGCTCTTTCTAAGAGGGGGTCTGTAGGGGATTTCGGACAGAGCTCTCAAACTGGAAGGATTGTATGTGATGTCTGTAGAGGGAAGATTTCAAGAGAGGAAGACTAAGCTCTATCTCAAATCGCACAAACCGCAGATACCAGCAGGATGCAACCTATACTGCATCCCTTGAATTGCAGCTGCGGTTGCGAAGCACATCATGGACATTTGCGACCCACAGCTATAAATCAGGACATGGCTTCTGCTAGGTTCAAGCGAGACATCTTAAACCCTTCAATAGTTACACCTGTGATAAGTTTTTTTCCATGATCACGATCCTCAAGCGTTGCTGCAACGTGGTTCATCCAGGCTATTTCATCCTTCGGGAGTATCGCCTGCCCATTTTTTTCAAGAGCTGGAAGCCCCTAAAACCATCAGGTTCCAGTAAAGCCAGGCACATGAACAACCCGCCGCATGGTTTTTTGTCGTTGATTTTTGTTTGCGAAGTTGTGTTCTCACGACAGTTTTA